TCCTTGTAACCTTCAACATCATTCCGAACCCCACACCCGTCCAACTCCAACATGACAACGTGAATTGATGCCCCAAACTCTCCAAGGCAGCTTCTTCCATTGGTGCTTGACTCTTTGGAGGGATGAGAACATTTTCCCACTCCTCAGTCTAGCCCGAGGCTGGTTCATTCATTGCGTCCTCTCGTCTTGGGATCACAGTTGAAGTTAATGGTGATATTTGCAGCCGCCCCTGAGAGGACACGCTTCATTGGCTGTGATGTCCACGTTCAAGGGCTCTCATCATCGGTAAGTCAATGACCTACTGTGACATTATCAGTTACACGATGGGGTGAGACTATGGCATCACCATTTAGCAGCAGGGAATGGCTATTATCTGCCTGCTAACAGCAAATGACCTCCAGGTGTGTCATTAGTAACCCTGTGGGGGATTCTCCGCTCATTGGTAAATGTACCGACCTTGGTGGGCGAGCACATCTGGATTCTCTGTCTCTTGATCGATTTACTGACCTCGGCGGTGTGAGCTTATAATGGGAAGCCACATCGAGTCTCGTTCCGCAGCCGCTTAAAGTCCTGTCTCCAGTGTAGGGGGCTGCAAACCACCTCTGGCTCATAACAATAATAATACTTGCATTTGATACAGCACCACTTTATCACATCGTCAAGACGTCACAAAGCACTTCACAGGATGTACTGTAAAGTGGATTGATTGTAAAAAGTAGCAGCCAATTGCACACATCAATGTCCCATAAACAACCATAGAATGACCAATTTTATTTTTGGGGATTGTTGGACACTGGTAGAAATTCCCTTCTCTTTTCAAATAGGGCCATGGGAACTTTAATATCCACCTGAACAGTCATGGCTGTTTGTGGGACATTTCTGTGTGCAAATTGGCTGCAACAAAATACACAGTCTCTGCACTTTATAGTAAATCTAGTAAAATCACTTTGAAATGTTTCAAAACAATGTAACAAGATGCTAAATTAAATGCAAGGCAAAAAAAAGATTCAATTTGTAGATCGATATATTCCGGATTTTCTCTAGTTCCTTATTCCTTACATCATAATCATGTGGGATAGTCACATTGATAACACTACATGCACAATCTATTTGGTTCTTTATGTTAATATCTGCCCCCACCTTCTGGAACTCCATCCTGGAGCCCCTCCACCTCTCTCCCTCCCTTGCCTCCTTCAAGGCCAGTCTCAAGAACCTTCTTCTTTGACCACGTCATTGATTATCATTCCATGTTCCACACCTCCATCCTCTTTACCCCTTGATTTTGTACTATAGAAGGTGTTGACCTTACCTAGTTAGCACTGGATGGATTCAGAGACACAGCGGTGGCTGGTGAGGAATTGGTGAGTTGCGAGTTTCTTTGGTGGACGGTCCAACACTACCACCCCTTGCTCTCCACCCCTCTTGACCACAGACCGCAGCTTGGGTGGGAACCCTTGACTGTCCAGCGCCTTGGGACATCCACCCGATATGAAAGGAGTTACATAAATGCAATTTGTTGTTTGTTGTTCTTGGTGCTTTAACATCTGATCAAATGGACCCAGCGCTAATCACATCTCAACCATGGTTCTTCAGCAGGTACCTGAGACACTGGCAGGTCTAGACCTTCCCTCCCCCTTTCTGGACGGAGATAAAGGTAACACTGTGGTAACAGTAAAAGGGAAGTAAACACAACTACTAAGCATATAACAGAGAAGGTTTGTGTTTCACCTGCTGTTATTGCAGCTTGTTAGTTTGCTGAATTGAGTTGGGTTAGAGTGATAGCCTCTATGTTATCCTGTTATCTAGTTTTCACTAGGATTCGGGAACTCACAATTCTGATGCATGAACATAGCAGTTTATGTTTCGCCCACAAATATACGGTCAATTCACTTTATAGCATATTCTGTGAAGTGCTTTGAGACGTCTAGAAGACGTGAAAAGCGCTATATCAAATGCAAGGATTATTATTATCATTATTATTATGGATCAGCGGTAAATTGGTGTGGAAAGTACCACTGTATTTTTAGTTCAGGTGATAAATGTCACCTACAACATGCACAGCAAGGAGATAGTTGTTTGCAAAGAGAGTGAAGAGTGTGCGTGACCTGATTATAAGAGGAAGAAATAAGCAACTGCAGTGCCTCCTTTCTCCCTCTGGACTCGCGCTGCGAGGGGACAGCAGGCCTGACACACGGTTTGCCTTAGAGAAAATAAAATGTTCATTCCCAGGAGTGCAGCAGATAAGAGTTTGGGTTTAGAAGTGACATGTTAAATACCAGGCTGGTATCTGTCCTGTGCCCACAGCCAATTACTGTTTCAAGCCCCGATGTAATACAGTTCAGACACTGGATCAGTCTCAAACTTCCCTTACACAATAAGAGAGGAAACTAACTCACTGAGCTATCACTCCAAGTCACCACAGAAACAGCACCGGCCTGATCGGAAATTTAATTTCATCATCATCATCATTTCAGATCTGGCACCACAACAATCAACCTAGCTAGCTCTCCGCTGCAGCACACACACTGCTATTTCCAATCTCAGGCTCCTCATGGTGACAAAACATTCCAAGTGAAATACTCCAATACAATCCTACCTCGGATAAAAGGTGAGGACGGGACCGAACGAACGAAGATGCAATCAAAGAGCAACGTCTTGAGATGTACCTTGAGTGAGGTGAGGAAGTGGCGAGGTGAAGGGACTTGGGAATTGAAGTACCAGAGAGTGCGAGTAAATACTCTGAAGGCCCGATCGCCGATTGTAGGACTTAAAGCAGGCCGTTGCTGCACGTGGTCACAGCTATACACAGTCACAGGTACACACAAACACTGCTACAGAGTAATGCATAATAATCAGTAAGATGGCCAAACAGTCACAGCGCTGCATGGCCAAACAGAATTTCTTTTATATGAAGACTCTTGCAGATCTTTCTATTATAGACGCCATGATATTCAGACTGGAGTAACTATGAAAGGAGTCTTTAGAACATACATAAGAATTGCTGGACGAAAGAAGTCCAAAGTCCATCCCGTTTGCCTTCCACCATCCTGGCAGTCATATGTACATGTCATGTCCTAAACTATATACTGTATCCTACGATATTATTTCTGAAAATAAATCTATCTAATTTGCTTTTGAAATAATGGACAGTTTCTGCTTCCATACATTCCACTCGGCCACTGAAATAATATTTACACTGATTTGTTATGAATTTACCCCCCAACCCACTATCACTTGCAGGCCATCTCATATAGTTCTACTGTTCTGGACAAGATAAAATAGTGTATCGTGGATTACATTATCCAGTCCTTTAGAATCTTAAAAACTGCTATTATATTGCCTCTCAACCTTTCACTTTTCCAGTGTGAACATGCTCAGTTTAAGCCTTCACTATTACATACACAGCAACGAACAGACAGAAGCAGCTCACTAGGCTGTCCTTGTAAACAGAGACACTGTATTGCAAGCAGGGAGCTCAGCTCTGAGTCTTTTTGTTCCCCATTGAACTATGCGGCAAACATTCCTTGAAATGAAAACAAGTTTTATCCCTCAGCAAGTAGACGTTGAGGTTGAGAGCTAGTAAATCAGAACTTTGTTTTTGCCTGACACATATAGAGTTGTATTTTTACTTAAATATCTATTATCTGCACTACATCCCTGAAAGTATGTTGTCTGTCAATGATAAGTGTGTTACAAGCTCAAGATGAATGACATTAAAGAGCAAGTCCCCATTCCCCCAAACCCAACTTGGAGCCTTGTATATTCTGGGCAGTATATTACAGTTGTATAAGTGTGGAGCCGTGTGATAGATTACAAGAGGGAAAGAGCTGCTGGAGTCAGTTCTCGGAATACTGGCCTGATTCATCTCACTGCAAAGCTGTCAGGGGCTTTTGTTATTTAAAGTGGAAAGCAGATAAAAAGATCACCGAGGAGAGAGAGTGGTTTGTGTGATGGAAGGCCATCTCCCGCATGTCACCAATCACTACGGGGAGACAGACAAGCACCATCCCTCTGCTCTGACAATTCCAGGCACGTTTACCTTCTTTGTAATCCTAAATGTCTCTCATCCTAATGCAGCGCTGTCGGAAAGTGAAGTCAATGCAAGTTGTGATCTGGGCTCTTTTGCTGTGACTGATAATAAGCTTTACTTCCTTCCTCTACTTTCTCATTTATATTAAAAAAACTTTTCCACGCCTCCCCCCATCTTCCAATTTCAGATTACATTTTCATAGCCTCCAATCCTTTGCTTTCCTAAAAGCCGATTTCAATTGCAATCCTTGGTTCTGCTGTCATTCACAGGCTGAAACACATTGGATGAAGGAGAGGAGGGCTGTGGCACTGGACTTCTGAAAGGTTCTGAAATTGCTTTCCATCGTGACTGAATGGTGGCAATGGATGGTGGACTCGTGGGCTGGTCATACAGGGTGTGAGGACTCAAAGTCAACGGAGCTCATTGAGTGTTTGTGGGCTCGGGGTGGGAAGGGAGGGTGTTTTAAGGTGAGGAGCTGAGATTACAGTTATATCAGCAGATTTGTTTTCAGCAAGAGCACGTCCAGCCCACACCAGGGGTGACATAGCCTCCGTTGTGCAACAAGTGCATGTCATGCGAGAAGAGATTTTTGTGTCCTCAGCCCATTGGTCACACTGTGTGTGTCTCATGACCGTGGTCATAGTGTTCCCTCAGGCATCAGAGGAAGGTGGCGGCACTACACAAGCATTCTTGTCAGGTACAAGATGACTCTGCCATATGTGGTTGAAATGTCTCGGTTCCAGTACACAGGTACTCATAAATTCTAGATTTTCCAAAGCAAGGCATCTCCATCTCTATACCACTGCAAGACACCTGTATTCCATAATTGGAAAAACAAAGACCTAACTATTGCTCGTGTGCCAGTTGTGTTCCTGACCCAAGACACCAGGTGTACAGCTGGCAATGTTTCGGTACACACTGGCAGTTCTCCTACAAAGTTAAAATCTGAACACGGATTGCTCGGACTTACCTTTACTGATGTCTTGGTATTCCATCCACAGCTGTCTCTGCACTGAACGATTTGGGAACCAGATGGTGCAAGACTCCTCAAACCCGTACATTGCCTCCTGAATGTAATGATTGCCAAACTCCTCCAGCACTGACGAGAAGTCACTCCTCAAAGTGGCTCCTTCCAACGAGCGGATAGCATGGCTGAAGGCTGAAACAGAAAGAGAGCATTTGGCTTAATAATAGGCAATGAACCAGCACAATTATCACAACCTGTTCTACTCTTTGTATTTGGCAGAGCTTTTTATGTTCTAATAGCCCCATGAAATAAAATCTTCAAATGCACCTCCCCACCTTTTCCATGATCGCTGCTTAGCATTTCTAGTTGACAATATGAACTTGTGCCCCCTAGTTAACTGAACTGCCAAATAGAGAGAATAATCTTTCAATATACATCTTCTCAAACAAGGCTCAGCCACCCACTTGTTTTTATGGCTCTATGCCATGGGGCCCTTGTATTTTAGATGGAATGTCAGCCCTGGAGATCTTGTTCATGATGTCTTGAGACCATTGCTGATAAAATCATTCCCTCCCCACCAGTTTTTGTTTGTAAGTCATTTAACTTCCGTAATAAGTTTTGCTCTGAATCCTTCCACTCACTTGATTATACTTGATGTATGACTGACTTTATGCAATTATAGTCCAATATTTCACATTCTATTCAATTATAACCGGTTGCACCCAATTGTACTCACTTATACTTAATTGAACCCAATTACACTTGAGTGTGGCTGGTTCTAAGCTGGCTATACATTTTTCCCCAAATACTGTACATCCATCAAGCCAAATAACAAAGCACAAAGCAACGTAAATATAGCACCGAGAGGAATAATACTATTAATAACTCCACTCCATTTGACATTGTGATCATTACCAAGCCTCTGGATCCCATTACCAGCCCTAGTGAACACCTTAGGGCCATTAATGACTGTAATGAGTGAATAAAACCATGTTATTGATGTAATATTTGAAAGTTATCGATAAGCCGGTGCAGCCATTGTATTTTATAAACAGACACGCACTCACACGCTTATAGAATGTGCACCGGAGTCAGCACCTTCAACAAAAATGGCAATTAGCATTTATTTACTCCTTTTACGCAGGATAAGGTCTCAGAGTGCCTCACATTGGCGGAGTTGGATGCCGAGCAAGGGATTAAGGGGAGGTGCAGGTGACCATGGTGCAGACAAAGAGGTAGGTCATCTACAAAGGATTAGAATAACCTTAATAATAATAATTATTTCATTTGATATAGCACCTTATCATGCCATTGAGATGTCTCAAAGCGCTTCACAGAATATACTGTAAAGTGGATTGACTGTGTGTTTGTGGACGAAACGTGAATACTTTTGGGCAGTATTTTCCACCCTCGGTAGTCATGTTATTGAGAAATGGAAAATATATTGTTACACAGAGTGGGGTTGCCGTGGTCAAAGGATGTGGGATGTGCAGCCTATTTTGATATTGTTTCCACAGCTATCAAAGAATTGCTAGATGGCCGCCTTCTGCTCACCGAAGCGGTTTCCTGCAAAGCCAAATGAAACCACTCCCTGCCTTTCTCTAAGTGGCCTAGCTTGTGTAAACCAGGAATGACCCTCAACTCTTTTAAGGTATTGCTCAACAATGTTGTGCAATGTTGCACTAAATGTTACACAATGTTGGACTAAAAGGACACAGTACTAATAATACTAATCATTACACTTGATACAACGACTTTAAGTCAAGAGGACGTTTCAAAGCACTTCAAGGATATACGATAACAACAACAATTTGATTTATATGGTGCCATTCATGCGGGCGGTTAACAATGGGGGAGTTTGAAGCAGAGCTGGCACGGTCGAAGAGGAAAATCTTCAGTTGTGATCTGAAGATAGGCAAAGAAGGGACGTGGTGGAGGGACTGAGGCAGGGAATTCCAGATGTTCAGAGCGTAGCGGCTGAAAGCATGGCTGCCGATGATGCAGCGGGGGGGGGAAGGGGGTGCGAGAGACATGTAGAAGGATGGAGCCGGCTGAGTGAAGCAGGAGGGATGGGGGGAGAGCTGTTACCCTCACAGCCCTGAACTTGTGACCCCCTGTCCTGTTGGCTTGGTATATCTGACAGTACTGCTCTGGGCTTATGTTCTCTATCACATCATATCTTGGATGAGGCTCTGAGACGAAAGGACATTCTGCCTTTCAGAGCAATCTCAAACAAAGTGGAGCAGCTTGGCAATGTGATCGTCTCCTGGTATGATGGAGCCTCTAATGTAGTCAGAGAACCAGAAAAGCCGGAGAGAATCACTGAAGAGGAGCAGAAGGAGAAGCTCAACTACTGGCGCACCAGTCACCAAGTCAATAGAGGATCAGCGCATATTGCTATGATAGTGAAGTGCTTTGAGACGTCTCAATGCCATGACAAGACGCTATAACAAATAGAAGGATTACTATTGTTATTACTAACAGGGCATACCCTGCCAAAGCCCACAGGAGCCCAATTTGGAGAGGACTGTGTGTTTGGAGTGCTATTTAGAAGGTGTTGTTTCTCTGGGCATCACAGTCATTTTGCTCTTTAATATTAATAATAATAATCCTTGCATTTGATTTAGCGCCTTATCACATCTTCGAGACATCTCAAAGCGCTTCACAGAGTATACTATAAAATGAATTGACTGTATATTTTGTGTGTAAAGTGCCCTTTTAGTCGGGATTGGAGATTAAGGCTGGCAGACCCTGTGGCAATAAAGAAGGAAGTTCCATGGTCTTTGTCACTTTGGCGCAAGAAAATAGGACCTCAGCTCAGCCATGAAAAGTCTACTGAAGTGACAGGCTGTTCAATTGCTGTTCAGGCCAATGTTTTTCAAATGTTTTTATCGCTGGAATCAGCTCTTTCTTGAAAGGGAAAGAAAAGTGATAAAGGACTTGAAAGTAAAGAGAAAGCATTTTTATAGCCACCTGTAACTATATGTCAAGAAGCGCTCGACAGCAATTACCATTGTGAGCAGGCACTAACTTTGATAGGCAAACATGACTGGATGTTGTGTGGATAGCAAAATCCCACATTAAAGCTATGAGCAGAATGACCTATTAATATGCAGTTCTGCTGACCAAGACATATGAGGAATTTGGGAGCCATGGGAGCTTTAAAGTCCACTTGAATAAGAGTCAGACGCAACTTTGGTTTCTCCCACAAAATATACAGTCCAAATCATTTTACGGTATATTCTATGAAGCTCTTTGAGACGTTCTCGACAACGTGATGAGGCCCTATATAAAATGCAAGGAATATTATTATTATTAACCATGAAAATAACATGGTCTGACTATGCAGTGGTTTCTCCAGCACTGCACTGGAGTGTCAGCTGAGATTGTGAGCTCAAACTCCTATTGCGGGACAGACATGCATTTGACCTCAATGACCTAGAATGCTCCCAACTGAGCCAGACTGACCCCTGATAGGACTCTATTCACTTCTCTATTTCTTTTGGTTCTTCTCATTTCAGCTGCCATCAAATCTAACCAAATCCCAATTGTACTATGAATAATTACACTGATAGACAATCTTCTACAATTCTACAGCAAATGTTTTAATAGCCCCTCCATCATTAGCGGACTCACCATGAATATTTAAGCAAAGCAATTACGGTTTAATATTCCTATTCGTGTGAACAAAAAATGAGACAGGTTGTTTCCATTCTCTTCATTCTGTCAAGTTGTCCATCTAGTTCGGGTATCGTGATAATGATCTAATACCTGCCTGCTTTTTCCTCTTTGCAATACATACTTGTTAAAACAATGTTTTAGCAATGTAACTCACTCTTCCCGACCCATCACTGTAACACACTCCTCACCCCTCACTGTAACACACTCCACATCCCTCACTGTAACACACTCCACACTCTTCACTATAACACACTCCTCACTGTAACACAGTCCTCTCTGTTCTGCTGTTGTGGAGTCATGTGGCATTGTGGTTAGCATTCTCGCCTCGCAAGCGAGAAGATCTGGGTTTGATTCCTGGGTGGGGTGAAACCTTGGGCAAGTTTCCTTACTCCACACACCTCTGGTTACCTAACAGTAAGTGAGAACCCGATTATTAGTCGATTGGCTAATTGCTTTCCTGGGGTAATAATCCCTCCAAAATAAAAATAAATTGGTCACTCAATCCATAACTGCTTGTGGGACTTTGCCATGCGCATATTGGCTGCCGTGTTTTCCCCCACAAAATCCACAGTCAATCCACTTTACAATATATTCTGTAAAATGCTTTGAGAGGTCTCAATGGCCTGAATGATGCGCTATGCAAATCTGTGTCTGCGGTTTCTTTAGCTGGTGTGGTCAGGCACATGCCTCGTGGCAGAGATAAATTCACGCTGAACTGAATTGGTTTCACTTTCCTTTTCTGGTGTCTTTGAGAGGGCATCCCCCCTTGGCTCAGTGCAATCACACCCTCGGCTCTAATTGGCTTCATGGCTCTGTACTCTGAAGAACAAAATGTGCTTCTGTAAAATTGCTCGTAACGATAAACCTTAAATCTGGACACTTTATGGAACAATGTAGTAATGAGGTAGTTTCATCTCATGGTTAGTCTTAATGTGCCATCATTAACCTAGCAGCTAGTTTGACAGCTCATTGAAGCATAGAGCCTCGGGCTTAAAGGAATTCAAGCAAGGGCAAGATGTTGTTGAAGCCACGACCACCTCACAACCACGAGGAAGATTCTGAACTTAATTACAAGCCTAAATCGGGGTTTATAATAGAAAATCCAGGAACGTTTCCAGTGATCAACTTGATGTAACACGGTATTAAAGTGACACAGCGTTCTGATTTACTGTGAAATGTAATAAAAGGTCACAGAGCCTGCTTGTAAGCTCCCTCTCGAGAGGAATCAAGCAGAGTCTGTGCACTGGCACTGCCGACAAATATTCCGTCGGTTCCTGTCGAGAAACGTACCTTGGTGCAATGACAAAACACCGCACAAATGGCTGCTTGGATGCTCTCGTGGTGGAATGAGGGCCCAAACTTTCAGGGGCAGAGCCAAGATGGTCAGAACTGAGGTCAGCTGGCATTTTTATTAATATTATTATCATTAATACTTCACATACATGATTGCTCTGCCGGGGAAAGCTGTAGAGACCAGAATGAATAGGAGTGGTCCAAAGAGACATTGGCAG